ATTGTTGTTTGGCAGGCCTGGGCTGGATTCGAACCCGCCACCTTAGATGTATGTGGTTGGCGCCTTAGCCACTTGAGCCACAGGCGCTGAGGCTTTCCTTTTTTTTTTTTTAAGTAGAGACGGGGTCTCACGTTTGCTTAGGCTGGTCTCAAACTTGTGAACTTAAGCTATCCACCTGCCTCAGTCTCCCAGAGTGCTAGGATTACAGGCGTGAGCTACTGCACCCAGCCCTATAATATTATTTATAACTTTTTCTTGGACTTTTTCTGTGTGTATATGGTCTAAGTTCATATTTAACATTTTGAAGGATGGTATAGTGTTTTGTCCCGTTGACATAACTACTTATTTTCTCAAAGGTCTTTTCCTTATTATTAGACTCCCTGAACCACCTCCCGCCCCCCCCCAAAATCAACATTCACACTATAACTTACAGGAAGAATTTGTTTCTTTTTATTCCGAATGAGATACTTTATTAGAACATACTGTGAGCTCTCACTATTAGGTAATAAAATATAAAATTTTTGATAGTAGCAACTCTAGTAAAAATTTACATTCAAATCTGTCATCTATGTTAACTGAGAGGAGCAGTGGCTTAGCTAAGGAGCTGCTCATCCTATGTGTCACCCTTTCTATGTTTACTCACTCCCAGTCCCCTCCTGGCTCAGCCCTCACTCGGCTCAGACCTCTGGTAGATCATCTGGACATGGTGCAGGGGCGGCAGCAGCTCTCCATGATTAATGGACTGTTGTAGAACAAAGACACTGTTTTAAGGGCCTTTCCACTGTGCCATTGAATGTGGGAGTTGCAAAGTTTGGCAAATTTGCAATGTAAAGTTTCTTTCCATTTTTTGGTTCACAGGGTTACCCCTCTTTGTCCAGCGCACAGTGGCCCGAACCATCGTTTTACAGGAGATTATTGGCAAAGGTCGTTTTGGGGAAGTATGGCGTGGGCGCTGGAGGGGTGGTGACGTAGCTGTGAAAATTTTCTCATCTCGTGAAGAACGGTCTTGGTTCCGGGAAGCAGAGATATACCAGACGGTCATGTTGCGCCACGAAAACATTCTTGGATTTATTGCTGCTGACAATAAAGGTAAAGAGCTGGAATATGGGGTGTCCCAAAGGTGACAGCATTCCCAGATGGAGGATGGCTGGGAAAGGTGTACAATTGTGGGACACACAGATCTTTTGCCTTCATTGTTGATACCCAGAGAAAGAGGGCCTGAATGCAGTCATGGTTTCCATGTTATCGAGCAGATAAACAACCAGTGTTATTAAACAGATAAATAATACATAACTGCTCACCCTACCTGTTTAATTTCTCTTTTATAACACTCTCCCAAATCCATCTCCAGTGTGATCCCTGCAGGAGCTCCAGTAAGTTTATTTTGAAAATCACTAGGAGGAGGAATTGTGGCCTCAACTCTGCCAGGAAAATGTGTCATCTATGAAGTGTCCCCTAGTGGCCTTCAGACTCAGCTTTTGTTGTGGCTTGTACCTAAGGTCCCTTGTTTTCTCCTTCCTCTCTCTTCTTTTCATGTTTTAATTTTTGAATCTTGTGTGCCCAGACACATTCCTTTTTTTTTTTTTTAATTTGGGATTCATTGAGGATACAAAGAATTAGGGTACAAGCCTTTTTAAAAAAACTTTTTATTTTGCACATTCCTATTTTTGAGGATCTCACTAGCAAAGAGGTGAGTAAACTAATGATTGATTATAGGAGGTGAGCACAAATTCAGGGTGAGTTTCACCTGAGCTTGATCGAGCTAATGGTGGCAAAAGTTGGTCCGGGGCTCGGCGCCTGTGGCTCAAGCGGCTAAGGCACCAGCCACGTACACCTAAGGTGGCAGGTTCGAATCCAGCC